GAAGGCAGTGGAGGATGGCCCAAGTGCTTGGGCCTTGAAACACGCTTGGGAGACTAGGAGGAAGCTCCTGGCTTTGGATCCTCACAGCGCCAGCCATAGTGGCCATTTGGGGAGTGAACCAATGGAAGGAAGACCTTTCTCTCTCTCTAACTCTGCCTGTCAAAAAAAAACAAAAACAAAAAACAAAAAACTGAAATATTGTTTGGTGAATTTATTCTTGTTTATAGGAATCATTCTTTACTTGTCTGATATAAACTGCATTTCTAAATTTCTAATTAGGCTGAATAGGCTTTATCCTCTTTTAAATGAATTTTTCTTTAAGCCTCTTTAAAAAAAATGAGAAGTGTAGGTTCAGAGCAGTTTTTGAGTCATTCCTTTGGTGTTTTTGGACTGTTTCAGTGAAGTAATTTGAATATACCAAAACTTGGCTTAAAATAAAAACTCCCCACCACTTGAGATATTGAAGATATGGTTTGATATATGTAATACATCATTTGCTGTTTCTGCTGTTAGAGTGTGATGTTACATGCAAGTACTTACATATAGTAATTTACAATAAATTGTTATCATTTATGAGAAATAAATTACTGGAAGATTTCAAGTTTTTAGGGTCTGAATGATTAAAAGGTTATTTTTTTTCTTCCAGAGAAATAAATACATAAGAAAGCTGGAAAATCATAGTACCTCTTGCTGAGATAAGGAAATTAAAGATGCAAAGATATGGTTTTTGCCTTGACTAATTTTTTCGGTGTAACTGTCACGTGATGTTTATACTGTCCAATCCCTCGAAGTGCACATTTACGGTGGTGAGCTTTAGGCTGTCCCATAATGAGAGTTGGGTGGAGTAGGGCCAGATTGCTTAATTTATTAGGTAGCTTTCACTGTCAGTAAAATGTCAGTAGCAATCACAGTGATTAACTGTAAAGACTAGTTATCCCTCTTCCCATAAACTACCTGTCTACATGTAAAGGAAGTGGAATTAATTTTATGTTTAAAAAAATACTAAGAAAATGGAGATCACTTGCGTGTTCTTTTTTGAAGGACTGTAAACATAAACTGTTTTCATACTGTTGTTGATCAAATGGTGCATCTAATGGCTAGGGAGCCAATACCTATTTTTTAGTACAGTGCCAATTAATTTCCCTGATAGGAGTAGCCTCCTTAAAACTACATAATGTTGTGAGTTATCCTGTGACTTAAATTTTGGTCGCTTAGTGTTTTTAATAATTTTGTGTTGAATGCTTGCTTACCTTTATTAGAAGTACCTTCGTATGTTTTGGAAGAAGACCATTTTGAGTGGTGTCAGTGGCTGTAGATTTGTATTTGATCTCCAAGTCTCTTTTAGTTGTTAAATTCTAGGATTCTTTCCTTTGCAGTCAGGCAGGGCATTTCACTTGGGTGGTAATTGCAGGTTAGCAGGCCAGGAGTTGTTAAGGAAAATCCTCTTTATGGAAATCACAGGACAGACAACATACACACACACACACACACACACAAATCCTAATTATTTTTACCTGTTAAATAACAATCTATGTTAGGGTTAGTATTATTTTCAAGCCAAAAAATTTGAGGTATAGAAACTTGGGAAGGTTATAAAATAAATGCCCTTTCAAGTTAGATTATTATAATAATTGATGTGTGAGTAGGAGGGAACCTACTTTGCTTAGGAGATGAGCAAAATTGTTGATAATTGGACAAGCATGAATATCTGTAAAGTGGGAGGAAAGAAGCATTGAAAGAAAATGTCTTAGCAGAATCCACAACTATCCTTGCAAATTAAGCTTGAAATAAGCAGACTTTCCTCAACCAGTTATGTTCGATTTGCTGTTATTAATTTCAAGTTTTTGGCCCACTCTCAGGTTCATGATTCTTACCGTGTACTCTTTGGACCACAGCATCAGCATCACCTAGAAACTTGTTAAAAATGCATATGATGGAGCCCCACCTTCATCTTACTGAAAGTAAAACTCTTGATTTGGGGCCCAATGATCCATATTTTTACCAGTCCTCCTGGTGATTTTGAATCATGTTGAGCTATAAAGACAACACACCATGATTTGCAAGCAGATTCATAACAATTTCATAAGAAAAAGTTAGTTGTAGTTGGCAGTATATTTTCTGGTTCTTCATCAGTAAATATTTTACTTAGTAAATATTTGGGCGGTCTGGTGAATTTCTTGGGAAGGGAGAGAAATTGAAACAGTAAAATGGAGCTCAGCTTATCTGCCAAACAACCATGAGGAGCAGGAGGACTGAATTGCATCTTGTAGGCTTAGCTACAGTGGCATGCTGCCTATGTTTAAAACCAAATGTAGCAGCAAAATGCACAAGAGGTTAGGTGTGGGAGACACTAGAGGAAGAATCCAGGGGGTGGTGATTATTATAATTTGTGTAGAGGGAAGAGTTATATAGAGGAGACTATTCAAAGGAAGAAGTAACTTAATCCAGTTAACTGAGGCTGGAGAGGATGGATTCAAAGATGCTATAAGGTTTTTTCTTTGTGTTGTTTTTGTTTAAATCCATCCGTTTTTTGAAGTTATAGAGAGAAGTAGAGACAGAGAGATCTCCAAGTGGCTGTAGCACCTGTGGCTAGGCCAGGCTGAAGCTAGAAGCCAGAAGCCACGAGCTTTCTCCAGATCTCCCACGTGAACTTTAGGGCCCTAAGCACCTGAGCCATCTTCTACTGTTTTTCCCAGGCCATTAGCAGGGTGCTGGATCAGAAGTGAGGCCGTCCAGTGGGGCTGGGAGTCTGTGGGCCCCTCAAACATAGGTAAAATGTCCTTCACAATCAGGCTACCAGCTGTGGCTGGAAAACTTGTGTCCAGACTGACTGGCATCTCCCCCACTCATAGCTTCTTGTGCTGCATGTATGACCTTGTGGCTTCAAATCACACCTTCAGGGTGGGTACAGTCTTTCCCCTTGAACTGGCAAGGGAAGGGGCTGAGCCCCAGAGGAGGCTCCAGGAGATCCTGGCTATCTTGTGTGACCCTGTGGTCATGCCTTCAAGTTAGTTTCAATCTTCCACCCAGGGCTAACAGAGGAGGGGACTGAGTCCCTAAGGAGACAAGCCATCCCCAGTAGACGCCCACTATATCCATGAGCCCCACGCCAATCAACATACAGTATGTGAAACCTCCTTCCAGTGGGCCGCACCCCACAGAATGACCCAATGAAAGAAGACAGTGATGCCGCTCGGCCATTCTGCCTGTTCTTCTCTCGGACCAGACGCTTTTTCTGATGTTTGCCAATCAAATAAAAGTTTCCTTTCTATCTAATAAAAGTTTCTCTCTCTTTGCAAATTGTTTCCGGATTTTTATTTTTTTTTTTTTAAGATTTATTTATTCATTTTAAAGTCAGAGTTACACAGAGAAAAGGAGAGACAGAGAGAGAGAGGGAGGGAGGGAGGGGTCTTCCATTCGCTGGTTCATTCCCCAGATGGCTGAAATGGTCAGAATCAGGAGCTTTCTCTGGGTCATCCCACATGGATGCAGGCCATCTTCCACTGCTTTCCCAGGCCATAACAGAGAGCTGGATCAGAAGTGGAGCAGCTGGGACTCTAACCGGTGCCAGATGGAATGACAGCGCTGCAGGTGGTAGCTTTACCCGCCAAGCCTCAGCGCCAGTCCCAGCTTTTCATTTCTATACTAAGCTGAGGAAAAGAACCCATGAGACTTGCTCCAGCAACTGCCCTCCCCCTGGTGACCAGTAACAAGAAGTGGAGCAGCTGGGACATGAACCTGCACTCATGGCAAGTTGATGTTGCAGATAGTGGCTTTATCCGCACACCAAAATGCTGGCCCTGTTTTAAGGTTTTAGACCAAAATGATTATTATAATGGTGATAGCTCTGTGGGGAGTAAGATGAATCCCGTTTGGTTCATACAACTTCACTGTGATTGTGTAAAGGATTTACATGGAGAAAGAAGAGCTGAGAGCTCATCTTTAGGGAAGTTAGGATAACAGGAGGACTTGAACATACAGTGAAGGAATTAAAGTAGTTCCTGATACAATTTACACTGAGTAACCACCATGGATCTGCACAATTCTAGGTTCTCAGGAAATGGTAATAAACAAACATTGTCCTTAGAACAATTATTCCAAGTTGAAGGAGACCAAGTGGCAACATATCATTTCTAATAGTATTAAGGGTCAGCAAAAGAAAAAGAATGACAGAAAAAGACTGAGGTGTGGTAACATGACAGTAGTCATAATGGTAGGTAGTTTTAGGAAGCAAAAAAGATGGTAGAGTGACCAAGGAGAATTGCAGGAAACCCCATTAAAGGTTTTGTCATCCTCTTTTTCCTTTCAGGGGCTGTTCCATACACAGGCTTGGAGATAGTCCAGTTCAGACTTTTTAGAAAATATGTTCAGAAGGCACAATTTCTCTGAGCTTTAACTCTTCTCAGTAAAGTAAGAAGTAGTAACACTCTATAGGGTTAAATTGTTTTGATTAAATAAGAGAATGAATTTAAAGCAGCTATCATAGTTGGAATGAGCGCTCAAATAGTAACCATTAATGTTCCTATTGAATGGAATATAACAGTCTTGTTAAATGTGATTTTGTTTAATAATAAGATCTAATGTGTTTTGATACATAATTTTATTTAAAAGTTACAGTTGGATCATTTATCATCATGTAAATTTTAAAGGCATAAGTATTTTTACAGTTACATGGTATACATGGGTCAGCTACCTGATATCACTTTTAAAAACTATGCTTATAGCAGATAAAGCTGTCTGTAACGCCGACATAACATATAAGTGCCAGTTTATGTCCTGGCCACTCCGCTTCCAACCAACTCCCTGTAAATGGCCTGGGAAAAGCAGTGGAAGATGGCCTAAGTGTAAAATCTCCACATGAGACACCTGAATGAAGTTCCTCATTGTAGCCTTTTCTCTCTCTCTAACTCTGACTTTCGAATAAATAAATCTTTTTAAAAATATGTGCTTATGTCCATAATACTTGGATCTTGCTGACTTTTAAATATTTCTTCTTGCAGATGTGTACATCTCATGATTGAAATGAAGAAACAAGTTATGGGCCAAAGGTCAAGATACTTCTCTGGGAAATGCTGTTGCTGATGCTGCTTGACAAAGTCATACAATGAGTGTCTGGATCAAGGAAGATTGTTGTATTTAAAAGATTTTCATCTTGGAAATAAATCAAGTGAAAATTAGATTCTTTTGGGAAACATTTTCCTCTTGATAAATTATACCTGTAATGGGCGACATGGCAAACAACTCAGTTGTATATGGTGGTGTGAAAAACTCTTTGAAGGAAGCTAATCATGATGGAGACTTTGGAATTACGCTCGCAGAGCTGCGTGCTCTCATGGAGCTCAGGTCCACAGATGCATTACGGAAAATACAGGAAAGCTACGGAGACGTCTATGGAATTTGCACCAAGTTGAAAACGTCTCCCAATGAAGGTAAATTTTATTATGTGCATTACAGTCCTTTGTGCAGAGGGTGCTTTACATTTGGCTCATAAACATGCTTATATTGTCTTGGCTATTATATATGATTGTGACATAATCATGGTGATATTAAAAATGGATTAGTTATTAGATCAGTGCATATAAAGTGTATTTACATCAGGAAATAATGTTATAAATTTATGTATATGTTTTAGAGTAGGAATTGGAATTTAGTGTTGGAATATTTTGTATATGTATTATTACTGCTGTGTGTTTATGATCCTATGTTTGCTCTCAGGCTGTGGAGGATGGGATTCAGTGGCAATAAACCTTGCTTACTATGCTTCATTTTGTCACAGCAGACTTGGTTGGTTTTAGCTTATGGGATTTAACCTAAACCTTCATACTTAGTTTGCAGAGTCCTTAAACCAAAGGGAGTAGATTGGATAGCAGTTAAATTTTCCCCTCACAGACATTTTCTTTGAAATGTTCAGTCTTTGAATTATCTAATTATCTGTCAATCTTTTGCATATCCCCATGTTTATAGAAGGAAAATTCATTGTAACTTTATCGTATTATGACCTTTGAAATGACTTAATAAAGATGACCTTTTAAACATTGATGTTGAACATAAGGTTAGGAAGTTTCAGGAAAATCTTTCCAAATTGCAAAGGCAGGAGTAATTTAAGGATACGTATTTGGTGATTACAACTTGTTTCAGTAAGGATGGAACATTATTATTGTAAAATCTTAAATCTTACATATTATTAGATATTCCAAAACTGATTCAAGAGAAACAATGCAAATTTTTTTTTCTAACTTTTTTCCTGAAATATGCCATGCTACTGCTTTATAATATTCAACGTAACAGCAAAAAGTCATTTCCAGTGATTAAATCGCACCTAGATTATTTAATGTTTTTATGTAATTCTATGTGAATTGCTAACTTTTAATCATAGTTACTTTGATTTCTCTGAGGTAGGCAGTCTTGAGGAAACCAGTGTCAATATTCATATTTATTCTAAAAGGGCTTATTTAGACTACTTTCAGATTTTTTTTGAGATGTTGTAAAGACTGAAGCAACCCACTGTAAGAATTATTTGTGTTTATAGTTGTCAGAAATAAAAGTGAAAACAGCAACAGCTTTCATAAAATACTATTTCCAAAGGAATTTTGTGAGTTCTACTAGTAATACTTCACTAATCATCTAGGCAAGTGATAAATGTAGCATGATCAGGAAATAGGTAGATAGGAATTTGTATGCCCATGGAAATGATCAAGACAATGAGCACTTGTTTGTTTAAATTATCTGCTTACAGTCAGGGAAAGAGAATTAAAATGATTCTTCAAAATACATGATTTTTGATTAGGCAAAACAGTTTTTTCCTGTCTCTTTAGGTCTTTAATTTATTAATTCATTCTCTGACACAATCTTTCATCAGTCCTAGGATTTGATTGTCATGTATTTTACATACTCTCACTCTTCAAAAAGGAAAAAAAGTGTTGGCAATTACTAGAGGACAATTCTAAGTGTATAATTAAACTACACCCCAAATTCAGAGATTTTAATAAATTGTAAGAATATATACAAGCTAGAGTTGCTGGATTTATTTGGTGTTTGCTGTGTGACCAGGTACTATTCTAGACCCTGGGCATACGGGGTGAATAAAACAAACAAAAACATTCCTGCTGTATTTTCACATAAGGAAGAAAGTGATAGGACAACTAAATGAAATGCATAGTTATGTGTTAATGATATATGCTTAAGACAAAAATGGATGGAAAAGAAAATCAGGGGTGGTGATATTAAATTGCTGTAAAGTCTGGAAACAACCAAAACATTTTGTAAGAATGGCAACAATCGGGACCGGCGCCCTGGCTCATTTGGTTAATCCTCTGCCTGCAGAGGCGCTTGGCATCCCATATGGGCGCTGGGTTCTAATCCCAGTTGTTCCTCTTCCAGTCCAGCTCTCTGCTGTGGCCTGGGAAGGCAGTGGAGGATGGCCCAAGTGCTTTGGCCCCTGCACCTGCACGGGAGACCAGGAGGAAGCACCTGGCTCCTGGCTTTGGATTGGCATAGCTCCGACCGTAGCAGCCATTTGGGGGATGAACCAACGGAAGGAAGACCTTTCTCTCTGTCTCTATCGCTGTGCAACTCTGTCCAAAAAAAAAAAGGCAACAATGAAATGACAGATAATACTTTCTGTGTCCAGCTGACTGTTAGTACATATATATTAACACATTATTCCAACACTTTTATTCTGTTTTCTTGGCATTCTTTATAGTAGCTTATAAATAAAAAATATTATCCTGGATTTGGGCTGATTCCATTTAAAGATATAAAAACGTAGTTCCATATGTGAATGCTATGTTTTTATTCTTTGATATCATGAAGACATGGTCAAAGTATACCAGTAGTAAGAGCTTTGCTTGCCTTGAATGAAAATATAAATTGCTGTCTGAAACAGCATGGAAGCCTGAATCAGCCAGAGGCAATCGCTATTGACTTCACCCTGCTTCTGGCCACATACTTTTTTTTCCCCCCCTTTTACCACTGTCTTACTGTTTTGCTTTTTCTCTTCTACCTCATTTTAGCCACCACAACTTATAAGCCTTAGCATTTCATTTACTTTCTTGCCCTTTGCAAGTCCATGAAGTTGTGCCTCTTAGAGAATACCACCTGGCACCTACCTTTAGTTTTCATGAATTTATTTTTATGCTTTGTTAATGTAGTACTATTGAACAAATAAATAGGTATAGGCCTGTATTCCAGAAATTGTAGCATTACAGAGTCTGCCATCCAATATAACATACAATACAGATAACAGAAGAACATGCTATAAAGTCTAGTGTAAAAATAAAAAGATCAAGAAATGTGATTTAGATGTCATTAAGAAGGTCAGTGTAGGAAAACAACAAAGATACCAGCGGTACCTCCAGAGTTTGTGGGGAAGTAGAAGAGATATTTATTTCTGTGCAAAACAACCACCTCATGAATTATTCTTTTCACAATTTGCATTTTTCACTAACTTTCTGAAGACCATTTTATAGCAAAGAGAAAATTATAAAGGTAATTTTATGAAGTTAGGGTGTTATAATTAGGTTATTTTGATATAAACGTACATTCTTGGATTTTTTTTTTTTTTTTTTTTTTTTGACAGGCAGAGTGGACAGAGAGAGAGAGACAGAGAGAAAGGTCTTCCTTTGCCGCTGGTTCACCCTCCAATGGCCGCCGTGGCCAGTGCACCACGCTGATCAGATGGCAGGAGCCAGGTGCTTCTCCTGGTCTCCCATGGGGTGCAGGACCCAAGCACTTGGGCCATCCTCCACTGCACTCCCTGGTCACAGCAGAGAGCTGGCCTGGAAGAGGGGCAACCAGGACAGAATCCGGCGCCCCGACTGGGACTAGAACCCGGTGTGCCGGTGCCGCAGGCAGAGGATTAGCCTAGTGAGCCGCGGCGCCGGCCCATTCTTAGATTCTGAGTCCTACAAGACAGGTGCTCTAGCAGAGCAAAAATGTTGTTACAGGTCTCAGTTGGAGTTGACTTTGAAACTTACAGACCCAGTTCCTTTAAAAATAAAGTAGTTGGGGCCAGCGCTGTGACATGGTGGGTTAAGCATCCACCTGCGGTGCCAGCATCACATGGGTGCCAGTTCTAGTTTCTAGCTGTTCCACTTCCAATATAGCTCCCCATTGATGGCCTGGGAAAGCAGTAGAGGATGGCCCAAGTGCTTGGGTCCCTGAACCTATGTGGGAGACTTAGAAGAAGCTCCTGGCTCTTGGCTCCTGGCTCCTGGCTTTAGATAGGCCTACCTCTGGCTGTTGCAGCCATTTAGGGAGTGAACCAGCAGATGGAAGACCTCTCTGTCTCCCTCTCTCTGTGTCTGTAAGTCAACCTCTAAAGTAAATAAATATATCTTTATTTTAAAAAAGTAATCAGAATCACTGGGAAGTTTTTTTATGTATGGCAGGGTAAATCTTACCACATTTTCTTTGTTTATTTTGATTCTTTCAATCAAATTATAAATCTTAATTTTATTTAAAAGATTTTATTTACTTGAGAGGCACAGTTGTAGAGAGAGAGGAAGAGACAGAGAGATCTTCCATCCGCTTATTCACTCCCCAAATGGTCTGAACAGTTAGGGCTGGGCCAGACTGAAGCCAGGAGCTTCTGGATCTCCCACAGGATGCAGGGGCCAAGGACTTGGGCCATCTTCCACTGCCTTTCCAGGTGCATTAGCAGGGAGCTGGATCGGAAGTGGAGCAGCTCGGACTCAAATCAGCACCCATATGAGATGTGAGATGTTGTCACAGGCAGAGGCTTTACCTGCTGCACCACAACACAGGTCCCTAAACATCTTAATTTTAATCTATTTGAATACAAAATGGATTGTTATCCAATTGAAAACACCAGCTCTATCAAGATTCTTGCCATAAGTTGAGGTATTCCTAAGAGGTACAAATTTCACATTTCGGTGTTTTTATGTTTATGCACTCATCATAGAATACATAGTTTTTGGTTTGTTAGTGATAATTTTCAATTTCTTTCTCTTTGTAGCCTCTGTTTTCATTAATTACAATACCTGAAAACTGTAAAGTTCATATACCTTAATTTTGCAGTTCCAGTGATTTTTTGTTTTTAAATGAAATGTTAAGACAATTTGGAGGTCTCAGTTTTAGTCCTCTGATTTACCTAATATAGGTCACTCAGCTTTATTTACAAAGTAATACCAGAAGGAATTATCACTGGCAGTCATTCAGATTATGCCACAAATGTAAAGAACTCTGTTTACTGGACAAAAACATTCAGCTTACTGCTACATGCTCTCCTACAGGGACACTCAGTCTTTACTTCACATACTTCAAGTATTGTGAGTCACATTTAATTTTCCACATTAACTACTAATTTTCAGAATTAACAACCTGGTGGGTTCATGGCTGTGAACGGCAGTAGCCATAGACCAGAGCATATTGGACAAGCACACTGAGTGTCAAGCAGGATCAGCGACTT